ATTGGTCTCTTACTGAACTCAATATCTCATCAATTTGTTTGGCAGTCTTATTGGGTGGATTGAACTTGTTCAAAAATTGCTTGACTAATTCCTCCCAAGTAGTGATGGAGTTTATGGGGAGCGAATTAATCCAAGTTTGAGCCTCTCCCTTCATCGAAAATGGAAACAATAACAACTTTATTGCTTCCGGTGTCACATTAGGTTGCCTTTGCGTGACACATATCGACAGGAAATTTTTCAGATGCTGCTGAGGATCTTCAATGTAAGACCTTGAGAACAGTCCCTTGTTCTGTAACAAATATAGCATGTTGTTTGTGATTGTGAAGGACCGCAATTGCGGTTGCTAGATTTTCGGCTGTGGGTTGTGCCCAATCATACAATGCTGCTTCTGGCACAAGAGGCACCACACCCTGATTGTTCGGGTCATTCGCATTATTTCCGTTGTTTGGATTTTCTATTACGTCATCCATGTCTGGTGCGATTCGTTCTGTTGAGCTATGTTGTTGTTTGCCCTTCTTGTTTGCACGACTTAACGCTTTAAAAAGTTTCTCAGGATCTGATAATTCTTCAAACAATTCACCAGTTCTTGAGGAGTTTCTAGGCATGCAACTGTAACATCCAAGACTACGAACGTTAGAATTTTTAGTTTAAAATGAAGAAAATTGACCTACACTAAGAATTCTAGCACTTCTTTAAGCTGCAATTAATAACACAGTTAAATCCCCAGAAATGGCGCCAAAATTTGATCACGCCCAACTATGCCTTATAAAAAGGACTAAGCGGTCGTTGCAAATATATTTCGGTTAACAAGTCCGGAGTCGAATCCCACATGGAATTAACCTATTAAGCACATCTACTAGACTCACACAAATTGAGGCAATCAATCTTCAGAAATATTTAAATAACAAATTGGATGTTTACTAACTAAATATCACGTAATGAAAATGAAGTAAGTAATAACTAACTATGAATAGGTTGTAGATAAGAATCAGAATGATCTAAGGTTATGATTTCCCCTATTATCGGAATCCTTTTCGCTACGTTTTCTATAAATTTGCCTAAGCTTTCTCTACCGATCATGAGCTCTCTGAGTGTCGTAATTCTCTTCCGAGTAACTACCACAATTTACTAGACATATATTCTTCCGAATTACGCTAGCTGGCACTAAGCACGGCTCACTCGGATCGCACCAAGGTTTCGTTATTCATAATCCCACCTTTAAACCCTCCATATTGATCCCTCATATATGTTTGGAGTGATGTTGTTCAACAACTACCTAAATATGAACTCTCTTCCGAGTAATACACACTAAATAGGCACAGTCGATTGAGAGCTCTTTAACCAACCACAATATAAACGTAGTTGAACAAATAGAGAAAAAGCTACGGCAAATCTATATTAACGTAACAGGAAAATCATCCTCCAATAGGTTCCATCAGAACTCTAGATTAGAAGTTTAGCTACTCATAATCATAGTAACAATATCCCAAGTATTTTGCATGAATAAATTACAAAGTAAAGATGAAGGAATGTAAAATCGATGATTCTATCTCCCAACGGGTGTTCCACGAGCTATTCTTGCCTCCGGTCGCAAAAACTCTGTCAAAAGTGGTGTTTAATGTCTATTTATATGTGTAGGAAAAGCCCTAAACGACATAACCCCAGTCCAAGTCCAACAAGGAGATGAAATAAGCCTTCAAAATCCGGATCAGGCTCGCCTCAGACCGTGCCTCGCAAGGTAAAATGCGAGATGCATCTCGCCCCAGACCATGCGACGCCAGCCTCCACGCGAGCTCAACCTCGCCTTATCCCTCGCGTCGCCTGCTCCCACGCGAGCTCAAAGGCTCGCCTCGCCAGCTTCCACGCGAGCTCAAAGGCTCGCTTCGCCTGCTGCTTCATTTCTTCCGCTGCTCAATTCTTTCTTTCGTCTTTCCAACTGTTTTCGAGCACTCTTTATATCCTTTTTCTCTAATTTCATCTCCAATGCACCTACACATAAAATAGACTCCATTACACGCAAATAAAGTATAGTTTAGCATTAACGCACCTAAAATGCAAGGTAAATAATGTGCTAAAATATTGAATTATAGCCACGCATCAATACCCACACTTAAACGTTGCTCGTCCTCGAGCAATCGAACTACACTTATAGACACAACCTTTTTAAGCAATTCCTTTAGCTCCTCACACTAAGAATCTTTAAAATATGCTAAGCACAAAGGTGTAACATCCTCACCTCAAGATTTGACTCACAACTACCATGCATTATTCACAATTCACTTACTTTGGCGTAAGTGGAATTATAGCCACACAGGGAGTTTCGGCGTAACTGAAAAAGTTATTGCCATGTGACCAGGAGGTCACGGGTTCAAGCCATAGAAACAGCTTCTTGCAGAAATGTTCGGGGAAAACTGCGTACCCTAGTGGTCCGGCCTTCCTGGACCCCGTGCATATGGAAGCTTAGTCACTTGGCTGCCCTTTTATTGTAAAAGTTCTCAGTAACTTTAATTTAACATTTCTGGATGCAGCTTCATGAAGCATATCAATTGCAAGAAACTTCCGAGCATGATGGATTATCAAGTGTGCAGTTAAGCTTGAGCTATGGCTGTGAATTGTGATCACAATGGTGTCAAACAGAGTGGTCTAGAAGCCTCAAAAGATGTGAATACCGTGCTTTCTCTTTCCTTCTCCTGATATAATTAACTCAACTAACAGAACAATCTAGTCAAGCACATATGGATAAAATCCATCTGAAAACTAAGGTGAGATAGCATATACAAGGGAATTCTAATGCCAAAATGGGGGATGAGTACGCAGGATCTCACCTTGCAAGTCAAATATTGTGCATTGGAGTGAGATCTTGTTAAGTACTAGCCTCGTAGGCCTCATACACAGTTCGAATCACCCGAAAATCAAAATCGATGATACACAAAGTCATAATACATCATATGAAGCTACTCATGACCTCGAACCATCAAATGGAATGCAAATGCTCAAAATAATCGGTCTAGTCGTAACACCAATCCTTAACCCCCAACCCCAATGTTGGGATATATAAATGCTAATCGAATAATATTTTTTGCTTTATTACCAAACATAAAAAATTAAGTAAGAAAATTTTAGGAGAAATATATTTCCTTGAAAAACCTTTTCTTTCATTCCAAACGCATCCGCACTTATAGAGTTGCTGGTGTAGAAACGCAAAGGCTTATTAGTGTAAAAAATTATTCAACTTCACTTTGTTGCTTTATTGACTCTTCCCAATTATATTGATGTTTCATTTCTTGTTACATTTTCTTTTCATTACTGATGTGCTTATGCTTTACTAAGTCGAGGGTCTATTGGAAATCTCTCTATCTTCACGAGATAGGGATAAGATCTGCGTACATATTACCCTCCCAAACCCCACTATGTAGGAATACACTGGGTTTGTTGTTGTTGTTGTTCATTTCTTGTAACAAGTGTAAAGGAAATGGTCCCTACAAATGTCTGATTAAATCCATACTAAGAACTCTGTAAATTTGAAGTTATAAAACACCCCTTTCCCGGATCCTGTGTGAATGCGGAATACCTTGTGCACCGGTTTGTGCTTTGTCCTTGAGACGTTGGCCAAAATCATGGAGCCTAAAGAAGAGAAAAGTTTTGATATTTCCTAAGGAATTGATTCCTGCATCAATCATAAACTTTAAATGTTCAAGTTAAATTACAGTAGATATCTATGTAAGAGTAGCTGCAACTCTTCAACCAACTAATTAAGGGATGTTTCCTGTAACTATCATAAATTCGGGCTCTTATTAAAATTTCTAGAACATTAGGATAATCATCTGCTATTATCATCCAGTTATACAGGCCGCTGAACTCTTTTGCGCACAAAAATGAGATTCTACTTGTTTTTAAATGTGTTTCCAATTAACTAAGGAGTGATGGTTCATGTTGGTTATAAAATAAAGGGGAAAAATGGAAGGGGAAAAAACTAACAAAATAAATTAAATAAAAAAGGAACAAAACAAAGCACTTTAGCTCATATAATAGTTCATTCATAAGTCATAGCAAGATAGTTTACAACCATTCAGCAACCACCACCACAGCGACCACCGCCACAGCCGCCGCCTCCACCACAGCCGCCACCGCCACAGCAACTGCCACCACCTCCAGCACCACCAAAAATCATGACGTTGCTACCAGTAGCTGCACTAGAAACACAACGACCATAGGGCTTAGACTTGGTTATCTTTTTCTTCTTAGACAAGCCCTTTTAAGGATCATCAGTGCATGCAAATACCACCACTGACACTACTAAAACCGAGAAAACAATAACGCAGAGCAGCAACAGGCCTCCAGAGTAGCTAATACTAGCACCAGCACCCAAAGAAGAAACTAAGAACCTAGCCATTATATTCTTACTCTCTTATATCTGCAGAACATGAATGCATTTATAGAGGACTCATTTCCAATACCAAGAATTACAACTGTTTTTTAGGATAATGTCACATAGTTTTGCCATTTTTTCTAACTTTGGACAAAAAGACATTTGCTTGTTGATCATCAAACTCTTCGTAATAAAAAGTACTAATTACCCTCAATAGAGAATAATAGTACCGTAATTTAATGAATTTTGTGGAAATATTTGACCATTCCTTCTATAAGAATCAATAGTCTTCATAAATTATATATTTACCATGAAGATTGTCAGCTATCTCAAGAATAGATATAAGAACTGGGGGAAATTTCTGAGATCTTTCACTAAGCCTGAATTCATTGTTCTGGAGCATTTTTGTTGTGAATCCTGACTATTCCAGTTTCCTAAAATTGGAATGTCCCAGTTGTTACTAGAAAAATGCAAATTATTCATGGAATTTTCCTATTAAAAAATCCATTATATATATACACGTGTATATATCTCCGACCAATTCTGCGATCCAACCAAGAAAATACGCGGGAATCATTTAAATGATTTTCCGACTGATGTAGTGACAGACGGTTTCGGTCGGAAATTGAAATGTTATAAAAAGATCAGAACCCTCTTTTTTCTTTTCATTTCTGGCATCTTCCATTTCTCTCTTCCTCTTCCTCCACTGTCACCCCCCACCTGTTGCCTCCTCCTTCGCTGAGGTAAGTTTCCTTTTATTTTTATTTATTGTTTTTCCTTTTTTTTTCTTAAATTTATTTACTGTTTTTCCTTTTTCAGATCTGTATTCAGCGTTTCTTTTTCTTGTACATTATTGACTATTTTTCCTTTTTCAGATCTGTATTTACTTTATTGTTTATTCTAAATGTACTGTTTAAGCATGTAAAAATGGGATTTAGTTTTTTGTGTGAAAGTAATTGATAAGAAAATCAGTAAAAATGATTTGTGCTAGTTGTTTGAATTGATATTTATAGTTTTGTGCTATCTTTGTGATGATTGTTGAGCTTCCAATTCCAATTAGTTGATGATGAAACTTTTCTGTTGTATAGTAGACATTTGATAGTTAATTTAGAAGTGCGTAATGTATTCAAGTGAAAAAAATGTAGTGGATATTCTTCAATACACCAAGTAACATGTTGGATAAAAAAAAACTTAGCAAGTAACATGGCCAGAAATACCTGAAACATGACAAAAAAGGTGGAAGTGAGACACTAAATTAGAGAAAATAGAAGGGTTATTCTCCGTATAATTTAACTTGCACCTTCAATTGAGAATATCTAAAAGATTCTTATATTGAAAATATAAGAAGTGAATTATTCTATGTTTTTTCTTGATTGTGTAGATGGAACCTGAACATCGTAGATGGATGTATAATAGGAATTATCCTAATCGAAGAGGGTTGAGGGAAGAATTTGTACAAGGGGTTGATGGATTTATTGATTATACAATGTCGCTTTCTCCGTTTCGTCATGAGGGCACTATTAGGTGTCCTTGTGTGAATTGCAAGTGCATGAAGTTTTTAAAGCCGGAGAATGTTAAACTTCATCTTTATAAAAAGGGGTTCAAAGATAAATATTATTTCTGGACTGCTCATGGAGAGATCGAGCCTAGTATGGATGAGAATTATCAAAATTTTACTAATGAGGAGGCCTTCCAGAAGAAGAGTGCCAAGGTAAAGGGTGTTCGAGCATCTGAAAAGGGCAGCTCTTTGCACAATGAGGGTTTAGTAACAGTGAGGACTCAGCGGAAGAGATTGGTAACATATTTGATGTATTTATCTTAGTTTTCAACTATATTCATGAATTTCTATTAACCTCCTATTGTTTCTTTTGCATGAAAAGGCTTACAGGAGACCTGTATCTTGTGAGGAAGTCCTCCAGGAGACCCACACAAAGAAAAAGAAAGATGGAAAAAAGGTTTGGGTTGAACCTCAAGCTGAGCAAACAAATGTTAAATCCAAATATATATATATATATATATATATATATATATATATATTTCTTATTTCGTTTTCTTTTAAAAAGCTTTTTTTTTGTATAATAACGATTGTACTTTTCTTGCAGAATGAGTACAAAAAGAATTTAGAGGAGTACATACAGAATGAGTCGATCGGCGATCAAGATGGGCCAAGCAAACCATCTGATAATGTGGACATTAGTATTAAGGTGGTTGGTGACGTACATAAGGAGAGAGCCTACGACGTTGGATCAGAGTGTTCATTCACTCGTCAGTCGCCAAGATTGTCTGGAGCTTCTTCTTCTTCACAGTCTTTAGTGAATGAGGATGAGTTGGAGGCAGCGCAGAAGCAGTTAGAGGCAATGCGGGAACAGGTAGAGATGGATTCATTACGGAGACAACTACAAGAGCTGACAGAAAGGCACGAAGCAGGTCGTTTAAAATTTGCTCAATTTGAGAAACTAGTGCATAAAGTCACTGAGGTAAGTTTTCTATTTTTATTTTTATTTGTATTTACTGTTTTTCCTTTTTCAGATCTTATTCACTGTTTCTTTTTCTTGTAGTTTTTTTACTCATACTGTTTTTCCTTTTTGCAGATCTGTATTTAGTTTATTAGGATTTAGGTTTTTTGTGTGAAAGTAATTGATAAAAATCTGTAAAAACGATTTGTGATAGTTGTTTGAAATGATATTTATAGTTTTGTGCTATCTTTGTTTGATAATTATTGCGTTTTTCAATTCCATTTAGTAAATGAAAATTTTATGCTGTATAAAAAAAGGTAGGAGTGAGACACTTAATTAGAGAAAATCGAAAGGTTTTGCTCCTTATAAGTTAACTTGTACATTTAATTGAGAATATCTAAAAGATTGTTATTTTGAAGAATTTAAGAAGTGAACTTTTTTTTTTTTTGATTGTGTAGATGGAACAATAACGTAGATGGATGTATAAAAGGAATTATCCCAATCATGGAGGGTTGAGGGAAGAATTTGTACATGGGGTTGCTGGATTTATTGATTATTCGATGTCGCTTTCTCAGTTTTGTGATGAAGGCACGATTCGGTGTCCTTGTAAGAAGTGTAAGTGCAAAAAATTGTTGAAGCCGGAGGATATTAAACTTCATCTTTATGAAAATGGGTTCAAAAAGAAATATTATTTTTGGACTTCACGGAGAGATTTTGGGTTGAACCGCAGGCTAATCAAACATATGTAAGATCCAAATATACTTCTTATTTCGTTTTCTTTAACAAAGTTCATTTATATTATTAAGATTAGTTTTCTTACAGAATGAGTATAAACTAAATTTGGAGGACATTCAGAATCAGTTAACCGACAATCAAGATATGCCAAGCAAACCATCTGATAATGTGGACATTTCTCTTAAGGTTGTTGGTGGCGTGCATAAGGAGAGAGCCTATGGCGTTGGATCAGAAGTGTTCATTCAGTAGTCCATTGCCAGGATCGCCTGTTGCTTCTTATTCTTCTCAGTCCTCTGTGAATCAGGGTGAATTGGAGGCAACACAGAGGAAGTTAGAGGCAATGTGGAAACAAGAAGAGATGGATTCATTGCGGAGACAACTAAATGAGGTGACAGAAATGTTTGAAGCAGATTTTTTAGAACTTGATCGGCTGCAGAAACTAATGCATGAATTCATGCACAGTCGTCGATCTAATCCAGTGTCTGACACCGACTAAGATGGCGAGAATTAGTGTATTGTACTTGTGATGTTTGGAACTTTGACTTGTTTGATTTGGTTAGAATGTTACATGGATGGCGGATTTCTCTTACTCATATTCATATGATCATCCTAATTGAAATTTGGCTCGTCCTTGAGATGTTACTCATTGTTATGTGAGTCTAAAGACGAGAAAAGCTTCCAACTTTCCTAGGCTGAGGAATTATTTCCTGCATAAATCAGAAAGTTTAGAGAGGAAGTGAGAATGTTCGCCTTATGCTCGAGATATTTGTCAAAATTATTCTGAAAACAGCGAAAGGCTTTGATATTTCCGGAGGACTGGTGAACTGTCCTCTACATGTATTATGTTCTTTTTATTAGTATCAGTGTTCAAAAATCAGCAAATTAGAGAAGTAAAGAAATGTTATAGTTCAATAAAGCAAAATATAAAATAGTTTCTGAGCCCACAAGTTGCTTGTATGTCTTGAAGGAATTTAATTCCCTCACTGTTAGCCAAGGTTATGAAGTACTTCCTCCCAAGATAGAACGGAAAAACTATTACTCCCTCCGTTCCAATTTATGTAAACCTGTTTGACTGGGCACGAAGTTTAAGAAAAAATGAAGATTTTTGAAATTTGTGGTCCTAAAACAAGTCAAAAAGGACCCTGACGTATTTGTGTGGTTATAATAGATTCTTATTAAAGGTAGAATTGTAAGTTTAAGCTAAATTGTTTCTAAATTTAGAAAGGGGTCACTCTTTTTTGAACGGACCAAAAAGGAAATAGGTTCACATAAACTGAAACGGAGGGAGTATGTAATACTGGCAATTGAAATTACGTACAGAACTTCAGCGAACTCAACAGACGAAGCGAATCACACTTGACACTTATATGTTTGTTTTGAAAAACCAGTGCAACAACGTAGACAAGAAAGGGAAAGCTTCCAGATTTTTCTGTATGTAAAAATGAGGCCATACCTCTAAATTTATAGACAAAAGAAAGGTAAGATGAAAATGTACCATCTAAGAGGTGTATCTTCAATTTCTCATTCACGTCAAATCGGACTTAGGAAATCAGGCATGGGAAGGTCGTTAAGTGAGAAGACGGTGTTTCGAGTTGGACAGCACGTCGAGGCCGATTGAAGCCCAACAACAAGCAGTCACTGAGCAAGCCGTTGAAGTTGAGGTCGAATAGCGAGGAGTAGGAATAACGGCTAGTGTAGTCTTGGGACTAGAGATGGGAATATTCAAGAGAAAATTCCCTTTGTTGTACTTTTTTAGGGTTTTCAGAGAACATCACGTATAAAGAGAAAGAGAGAGAGAGAGAGAGAGAGAGAGAGAGAGAGAGGGGCACGTGAGATTGATTCTGAGAGAACTATTGTAAGAAGTTGACCCTTGAGAGAAAATACAAAGTTCATCTTTCCATGGTGATTGATTTTACCGATTATTCTTCCATTCCACTCACATGGCCCCAAGAAAGCATTGTTCATATTCCTGTTTACTGTCATATTTCGTTGTGAGAAGGAAGAATCTTCCACATCATTTGATATTTGGGTGAATTGTTCTTCCTATTTATATTTATTGCAATTTCTCATATTTATTGCTCATAACTCATTTGTCATTTACTCTCTAAAGTGCACATTTAATGACTGAATACACGATTCTGATCACTAGGTAAACGGTATCATTTAAACTCTAAGCTAGATCTATAAATTATTATGCTTGACTAGGATTCACCTTTCACCTCAGTTATCTTTTATTTAGTTTAACAAAGAGTATTATACTTTTTGGTCAAACAATTTAGTGCCGTATGTAGGGAGTATCTAGTCAAAATCATAGTCTTTCTAGATCTACAAAAATACACCAATAGAAAAGTACAAAGTTTTCTTTCCCCCACTTGCAAAATCTAACATGGCAGGAAATGGAGAAGAAAGACTAAAAGCAGTGGCAGGCCTTACTACTAATCTCCTAAACACCATCAACGAAACTCACGGAGAGGACTAGGAGAACGTGACACCAAATGCCTAACCTAGGCGAAGTGACTCACCTCCCCCTCACGGCAGCGTTACCGCTTCTCATGGGAAGGGAGCCTCTACGTCCACTACAGAAGAAGCACCACCAGCTGTAAAAAAGTTATTAGAGGTATGGCTAACGGATACGCTAAACAGTATACTCGACAAACCCGCTCAGAGGGTGAGCAAAGAGGGTGTGCGAGTCGATATCGCCACAACAACCAATGAGCAACACACCCAACCTCCCTCGACAGGTATCACTCACTCTGTTAATGATGCAGGTAACGATGCCCTCGCTACCATCCTTAGAAAGATGGAGGAGATGGAGAACGAGAATAAAGCACTCCGCGACCAAATGAGAGAGCATCAAGAAAAGATAAGATATCGGACGCCCGAAAACTCCTACCAAAGCGGGACGCCGGCCGGTTTGTGGAACAACGGTATACCGACGAGGCCGTACCACATGCTATACCAGAAACTTTAAAAATGCCTCCATACTTGAAAATATATGACGGCACGATAGACCTTGAGGATCACATCATCCACTACGTCACCGCAGTGAAAGGCAACGACCTTGCTAAGGAACAAGTGCCATCTATATTGCTGAAGAAGTTTGGTGAAACCCTAACCGGGGGGGGGGGGGGCATTAACATGGTACTCGCAACTGCCCACACTGTCCGTACAGACATTCGAAGAAATGGCCGACAAATTCATCACTGCCCATGCAGGGTCCAAGAAAGCGGAAGCCAGGGTGAATGACATATTCGCTATCAGACAGTCACTTGGCGAAGGGCTCAGGCATTTCCTCTCCCGGTTCAACAGAGTGAGAATGACCCTTCCAAACGTATCCGAGGGGATGGCAGTAGCAGCTTTCCGAAACGGGCTGAACATGAGCGGGTTGAGGGCAACCAAAAAACTGTTGAGTAGACTAATGAAGTACCCTCCCACCACGTCGGAAGAAATACATAACGCTTATTGTGCCGAGGTGAGAGCCGACGAGGATGATCTCAATGGACCTACTTAACGTCTGACCTCGGTCCAAATGGAATCTAGGAAAGATCGAAGAAATGAAAGCAAAAAGGATCTAGCAGGGTCACGACCTAATCGAGAAAGAAATCAGCCTTACATCAGAGGCACCCTCATGCTGCCTCCACGTCACGACGAAGGTCCATCCAGACCGCGAATAGGAATCCACCGAAACGAAAGAGGCATGTCCCCCTTGCTATCGGCTCACAATTTTTGTGTTTCCCCCTCAGAAATAGTCTACCATTGGAAAAGCTCAACCCAAAGGTAAAATGGCCACAGAAGATGAAGTCCGACCCAAGCACCAGAAAGTCAAACGCCCTCTACGAATTCCACTAGGAACGGGGTCACAAGACCGAGGATTGCATCGCCCTCAGACAGGAGGTCGTGAACATACTTCACCAAGGGCACCTAAAAGAGTTGATGAGCGATCGAGGGAGGGCCAACTTCGCCCGAGGGCGAGAACAACATCAGGGGCCGCCCAAACCACCTTCCCCAGTTCGAACCATTCAAATGATCATCGGGGGAGGCAACGACGCATCTATCAACAGCGTGAAGTTCAGCACCACTCACAAGCTCAAGCGGTCAATCACCCACGAACGGTATGATGAACTCTAAGAAAGTATCATCTTCGATAAGTCGGATATCCACGGTTTAGTCTTTCCTCACTATGATGCCCTTGTCATTGCTTTACGTGTTTTTGATACCGATATAAGACGTATCATGGTCGATGATGGAAGCGGCGTGTGCATCATCCATCCTCGAGTTCTCACCCAAATGAAGCTCGAGGACAGGATAGTGCCACGTTGCATCACACTAACAGGTTTTAACAATGCAGTTGAGCGGACATCTAGAGAAATCACGCTGCCCGTCCTGGCCGGCGGCATCACCTTGGAGACCACATTCCATATCATGGACCAAGATACGGCGTACAACACCATCATTGGCCGACCATGGATACACGCCATGAAAGTCGTCCCCTCTAGTTTGTACCAAGTCATTAAATTTCCCACACCCTGGGGAGTATTCTGCATCCGGGGAGAGCAACGCACGGCCCGAGAATGCTACCGCATCGCCCAAGACTGCATGCACACCCAATAGCTAAAGGGAAAGGCCAAGGAAGCATAGCAATTAGCGAAGTGGGGGGTCGGATGGCAATGAAAAAGAAGGACGTCACCAGCGACCCTAAAATCATAGAAGCCATGGGGTCAACCGTAGAGGACCTCGACCCCGTCCAACTAGACGACGACCACATCAAGAAAGATTTCATCATCCATAAACTATAAGACCCAAGTAAATTTCATCAATTCTTAGAAAATAACGTAGATCTATTTGCCTTTTCCCATGCAGACATGCCAGGTATCCCAAAAGAAGATTGCAACTCACAAGTTGAACGTCGACCCATTTTACCCCCAGTAAGGCAAATAAGACGAAAGTTCAACTCCGCGATAAACGACGCAGTTCGTGAAAAGGTCGAGAAATTATTAGTGAACGATTCTATCAGAGAATCGAAGTACCCACAGTGGGTCGCCAATGTAGTCATGGTAAAGAAGAAGAACGATAAGTGGAGAATGTGCGTGGACTTTATAGACCAGAACAAAGCCTGCCCAAAAGACTCATTCCCGCTGCCCCACATCGACCAACTCATCGACGCCACAGCCGGGCATGAACTACTGAGTTTCTTGGACGCCTACTCAGGCTACAACCAAATCCTAATGGAAGGGGAGGACCAGGAAAAAACCACCTTCATCACCCATCAGGGGACGTATTGCTACAGAGAGATGTTGTTCGGTTTAAAAAATGTAGGGCCAACGTACCAGAGGCTGGTGACCAAAATGTTCAAAGATCAACTTGGCAAGACCATGGAAGTATATATAGACGACATGATGGTCAAGTGCAAAAGGTACGACATGAAATTAAATCCCGAAAAATGTGCTTTCGGTGTAACATCTGGAAAATTCCTCGGCTTCTTGGACGCTTAGAGAGCATGCCTATAGGAATAACTAACTGAATCTGAATCGTCCATCTCGCTTGTAAGTCTAGAATCAGTGGTAAAGTCGTTTTAAAATCTGCAGAACTTTTG